TAAAGTCTAGGAAACAACGATTTCAGGGGAACATCACCCAACCATACATCATTCCAGAACTGCACATCTTCCCCTTTCCCGCCTTCAAACGCATATTCCTTTTAAGACACTCTCCAAAATCATCACTGTTGAAGAAGTTTTTCACCACACCTTTCCAAATCCACGATGCACGAGCTGGCACCGAATTCTCCAAAATAATGGACTTGGGATCCAAATTGTAGGCGGCACAAATCACTTTCTTCCACCAAGATTTCTTTTCAGAAGAAAACTTCCAAACCCATTTTCCTAATAAAGCTCGGTTCAAAAGTGCTAGATTAGGGACCCCTAGACCCCCCAGATTTCTTGGTTTAGAGACCGACTTCCAGTTGACCCAATGGATTTTCTTCTTATCAATCGAATCCCCCTACAGAAATGAAGCCATGATAGAGTTAAGTTTGAGTATCACAGCAGCTGGGATTCTGAACATAGACATAAAATAGACCGGAAGAGAGCATAGCACCGATTTGACCAGAACCACTCTTCCCGCTATCGACAGAGAATTAGCTATCCAACCACTCAATTTAGCATTAAATCTCGCCACTATCGGATCCCACATAGCAGCCGAATTCCTCTTGTACCCCAGAGGCAGACCTAAATATTCAGATGGAAGATATCCAACCGAGCAGCCAATAACTTCAGCCCAATTAGTTAGCTCCCCTTCTTCAACATTGATTCCAAAAATCCTGCTTTTACCTAGATTTAACTTCAGCCCCACCAGAAGTTCATAAATCAGTAACACTCTTCTAATATTCCTCAACTCACGAATGGAACCTTTACTGAAAATTATAAGATCATCCGCAAATTGAAGGTGTGACAGCTTGAATGCTCGGTCCTGCAGTCCTAAATCAAACCCCGAAAACAATCACATATCCACTGCTTTAGTTAACAGTAAATGCAACAACTCCGTAGCCAAATTGAAAAGCATAGGTGAAAGTGAACAACCCTGTCTCAAACCTCTGGAAATATGAAATTTCTCCGTTGGAGATCCATTTAACAAGACCGAAATCTTAGCAGTTGACATGCACTGGAACATCCACGACCTCCACTTTTCACCAAACCCCATTTTGCTCATAATTTGAATCAAAATTTTCCAATCTACCGAATCATAAGCTCTCATAAAATCCACCTTGAAAACTACTCCCTTCAGCCCTCTCTTCCTCCAAAAATCAATACTCTCATTTGCAATAAAAGAGCAATCCAAGATATTCCTCCCCGGAATAAAAGCAAATTGGGACTGACTTATAATATCATTGAGATACAAACTCAATCTTCTAGCTAAGACCTTAGAGATGACTTTATAAAGACCTCCCACTAGGCTAATTGGCCTAAACTCTTCCAACCCCTCCGGATTTGCCTTCTTTGGAATAAGAGAAATAAAGGAAAAATTCACCTCCGGTTCCCAAACCTTCCCCACATAGAAATCCCTAAAAAACCTCATCATATCATCCTTCAATTTAGGCCAGAACTTATTAAAGAACCCTAAGTTCAGACCATCCGGACCCGGAGCTTTGTTGATATCCGAATGAGCAATAGCTTCCCAAACTTCCTCTTCAGAAAAAGGCTTCTCCAAAGCTAAACACTGACCTTCGGACAGCTTGAGAAAATCCAGATTTAATTCCTCTGCCTCCAGGGTGTTTGTTTGATTATACAACCTCTTGAAAAACTCCACCACTGAAGCTTTAACTGACCTAGGGTCTTCAATAACTTCACCATCAACTTTGATAACTTTTATGTCGTTTATCCTCCCTCTAATTGCTGCACTATGATGGAAAAACCTTGTGTTCTTATCCCCCTCCAATCTCCATTTCAATCTAGACTTTTGCATCCAAATTGATTCTTCCTTCTTTTGTAACTCCCATAATTCTCTCTTTGCTTCAACAATAGAATTCATTGACACCAAAGAAGACCCTTGTTGCAATTTCATTTCCATATCCTGTATCACAGACTCCAAGGTTCTGATTCTGCCTGGTAATTGAAGAAAACCCTTACCAGCCCAATTTTTTGCGACATCCTTCACCCGGTTAAGAATTTTGGAAATGGGTATCGAGTTTTCCTGTGTACCCAGATTGAACAGTTCTTTTGTCAACAGTTCACTAAACACTTCCTCCTCCAACATATAATTAAACAGTCTAAACGGTTTCGGCCCCCAATTGCACTCCCTATTCTCCAGCAGAATAATATTGTGATCAGAAATAGACCTAGGCTGCAGATTTTGATTGATCTTTGGGAATTGCGAGAAAAAACTATGATCAACTAAAAACCGAACTGACCTAGGCTGCAGATTTTTTATATTTAAATTGATGATAAATTTACTGGTAATTTCAATATATAGATTAATCATTTCACTTAGATTGCTTAGTAAATTCATTCGATTGCTACCAATACTGTTAAACTGTTTTAGTCTTTAACCTTGTGAAATTAGTATTTTTTTGTTGAAGTAATGCAATTCATTCAAGTTTCAATTTGCAGAAGAATAGTTTTTGAAACTTAAATTCACAACACGAAAATGAAATTCGCAACACGAAAATCGCAACGTGAAAATGAAATTCGCAACGCGATTTTAGTTTTCGCGTTGCAAATTTTATTTTCGTGTTACGAATTTAAGTTTCAAAAACTACTCTTCTTCTGCAAATTGAAACTTGAATGAATTGCATTATTTCAACAAAAAAATAAAGACAAATACTAACTTCACAGTGTTGCGAATTTAAATTTTAAGAATAAACTACTATTCTTTATGTTGCGAAAAGGAAACTTGTGTTGCGAAAAAGAGATTCACGTTGCGAATTCAGAAATCGAGTTGCGAATTTGAAATCGTGTTGTGATTTCAGAAATTGAGTTGCAAATTTGGAAACTGTGTTGAGAAATTGGAGTTCGCGTTGCGAATTTGTTGGTTATTTTCGCAAATCCAAAAAAAATTGGTTAAAATCGTATATTATAAGATATTTTCGATCACTGAAGTTATTTTCTCTTTACTATATTCCATTTCAAGTGAGGTTCGGTATTGGTAGTCAATGAACAGGACAATAGAGCTGAATTTTTAGCAACGAAGAGATTTACTAAGAAGGTCATGGACACTGACAAATGAATATATGTTTTCTGTAGCAACCAGTCGATCCGGATCTTAAGAGATTCAGTTCACTAGTTTCCAATAAGATTTTATGAATGCTTTTAAAGAATGTCATCAAATAGCAATGGAATCAACATTACAAAATACAACTACGCTCAATATCCAGATCTCATATGCAATTTATGCCAAAATTATGCGTTTAACATTCAAGAGAAAAGAATACTAACCACTCCAAGATGGCTGCCAATGCTCCGGATGGTGATTCGATATACTTAAGCAGATTTTAGTATGGGTTTCGAAACGCCCGTTTGGCTGAAATGTTAACAGGTAAAGAAACTTGTTACCACATCCAATTAGATAATTACCTACACAAAAATTATGCACATATTTTTGGATTTATTTATAAAGAGAGCGCTTACTGTCATCAACATAAATGAAGGAGGCTTAAATGGATACTCAGCAGGCAATTGGATCCTTCCATGATAAATCCCTCCTTCAAATTCAGAATCCCTAGGACCCCTAATTGCAAATTGCCATTCGAATATATTCTCCTGAAAACCAATCCAAATGAAAAGAAAACCCAATTTATCATGAAGATCCACAATAATCTCATAAATCAGCGAACAGTTTGCCTCCTAATTGGACAAGAACAAAAAAAATCTCAAAATCATCAAATAACTCCACATTCCATCCAGGACCTGAATCATCAAATCGGAACAAAAAAAGAATCCCTAAATCTTGAAATTTGAAGGGAAAGAAAAAAAAAGACCTCGAGAGGGAGGCTCATGAAATCATCAGAAGGATTCGATTGCATCTCCTTAACCTCTTGTAATATCCTCTTCACCGCCGGATTCTTGAGGTTGTACTTGTCTTCAGCCATTGGATCACGATCTGACAGAATATCAACCCACCACAGCCGCCGCCGCCGCTTATCACCTCCGTTCCGATCAGCCGACTAACCTCGCCGGTACATAAAATAAGTGTTTTCGAGTGTTGGAAATGAGAGGATAATCAGAGACAAAATGAGATTATTTATTTATTTAACCTGGAGCTGAGTTGTTGACTCGACACGTCATGTGACGCGTGTTTGAGAACGTGGCCTTACTTTATTGGACCGTGGAAAATAGATTTAATAGGATATATTTATGTAGAAACGATTTTTACAGATGTGATAACAACCTTTATAGATATGTCTAGTCGAAAGCCCATTTCAGGTCATAAAATTACTTCTGATTTCTTCTTTGGTTAGGCTTTTTAGTGATTGGGTGTTGGGTCCTTCCAAGATTTTAAGCGTTTAGGTATTCGAAGATTTAAATTTATTTCAATGTGTATGCAAATATCATGTTAGTTTTAGTGGTTATCTTCTTATAATGTGACACACCCTAACATGAAGGTTAAACATTTAAAATTTTGATGTTATTTTGTGAATTTTCTAAAATTGCATAGATTTTTTTTATAATTAACCTCAAGTTTAGTGTACTAAAATACTCACTTCAATTTTGTTTATGAACAAAAATGAATGCATCGATAAACAAATTCATTAATAAATTTATTCGTAAACATAATCGAAGCAAACTCGCCTTTGTTTGTATTCTTTTGTTTATCAAATGAACATAAAAAAATTTATTCATACCTATTTATTTAGCTTAACAATACGAAATCGAACACACTGTTGATTTATGCCTATGTGTGAGCATAACATACGAACATAGTATTTTATACTAGTAATGAAGAACTTCTAAAATTTTAAATAGATACCAACTTATGAAAAATCTAAGGGAGACGAAAATAAATTATCAATAGAAAATGTGTAGGATAATTTGAAATTTTTAGCATACAGCAATCCTGCTCACGTCCTTTCGGACAGTCCCTGAGCCAAGTAATGGGGAGAAACTCAATCTCTCCATCGATGTCCGCAGTTGGGATTACAGCAGACGAAGAACAGTGTCATACCTTCCTCTCCTCTTGCAGTTGCCTGAACACAAACAAGAAGTTGTCGCTAGAAGAAACAAAATCACAATCCTAAATACTACTCCATGAATTAAATGCTCATTTCCAGTTAAACTTGCCTACCATTTCTCAGTCAAAATATTGTCTGCAAATATCTAAACCAAACAAATGTTCAAGTAACGTCCAACATTTCGAAATAAGAGAAAGTTGAAGCATGTAGGAAGTTGACCTGGAAAAAGACGGCTTCGCCGTGTTTACAATTAGCGCAAATGATGGATTTGGTCCGAGGAAGAGTTGGATCAGACGCTACATCCTCCAGTATTTGAGTCCGCTCCCCGGCCGAGTGATGCACCACGTTTCTGTAAACGCAGTTGTTATCAGCCACTTCCTGCATAAATATAATGTTAGCGAGAACCTCCTTTAACATGTTTTTTACGCATACAATACAATCCTTATACTGCGCTGCGGACACAATTTAATAATATGATCAACACACAAAAGTTGGGGTTTTATGAGGAGACTTAAACGACAAAGTATTGTTTATTTTGACAGGAGAATCTTACCTATTGTCTTACAAAAAAATGATTAGATTTAAGTTTCTATTTGTATATGATAATTAAGCAAAGTAAGATATATATATATATATATGCTTAAATATATAAAAGGTAAGGTGCTCAATTTATGTTTGTTTTTTAAGTTTATTTTTTCAGTTTAATGTTTAATATTTTTTTGTTCCAATTTGATATCTAACGTTTCATTCTGTTACTCAATAGGTCAAGCTGTGACTAACCGTTAAGCTTGATCGTTAACCCATTAAAAATGTCAGACATATTTTTTAGGGCAAAATATATAAATAATCCCAAACTTTTAGGGTGTTGCATTTTGATCACCCTGTTAAGTCCCCATTCTTCTTCTTCATCTTCTGTCGTCGTTTCCCGACAGTGGCATGCACTATCATCACCAAAACATTCTTCACTGTCGTCCAACCAAAACCCCTCTAGTTATTCACCGTAAACCGCCACCGATCGTCGTGAGTAACCCTTTGAAGCTCTGTCGAAAACCTAAAAATCCACCGTTGATATTATTCATGATTCCAACCACTGTAGGCGTCTGTAGGTCACACCGTCGCCACCAACGAGAATGTTGTCTGTCGGAGACCAAAATCCAACCACTCTCGCACCATGAATCGCCACCGTTTACCGCAAAGAACGACTTAAGGCTTCGTCAAAAAACATTAAACCACCATCGTTGTTTTTGTTGAAATTTGGTGCAACTTGCACCGAAAGTTGGGAGAAAAAAATATATAATTCCACCGAATGGTTGAATTGTCAAAAAGGTTGTATTTTTGTTGATTTTTGGTAAAGGGTAAATTACACAATTTAATCATTGTACTTTAGGGTATTTATAAGATTAGTCCTTAAGCTTCAACTATAAATACTCTAGCTCATTTAGCTTCAAAACCATCCCAAAGTATTCTAGCTTTCTTCCAATACTAGAGAAATTTTAGAGAGTTTCTTGAGAGTTGTTTTCTCCTTTTTATCTAGAGAGAATTATCATTGTTTTCTCCTTGGTAGATCGAGAGAGGTTGTAATTCATATTTTCTCATAGTGAAATTCTTCTACTGTTTCCCGTGGTTTTTACCCTATATTTTTTAGGGGTTTTTCACGTAAATTTTGTGTCTCTTTTATCTTCATTTTTTATTTTCTCAAATTATTAGTTGCGATTTTACTCTATCCGATATCCGTCTTCCGCAACAATTGGTATCAGAGCCAGATTTGAGTGTGTAATATATGCTTATTGTCTTTGTGGTTACCACCAAAAGGTGGATCTCCAACATAAGAAAATAAGAAGGTATTACCCATTCTTTGAGCTTCTAGAGAACTATTCACGATAGTGAAATAGTTGGAGCTATCAATAATAGAAGCTATTGCAACAAAATTTGATATTGAAAAATTTAATGGGAGAAATTTCTCACTGTGGAAATTGAAGATGAAGGCCATCCAGAGGAAAGACGGGTGTCTAGCGGCTATCAATGAAAGGCCGATAGATTTCACAGATGACAACAAATGGAACGAGATGGACGGAAATGCTATGGTAAACTTTCATCTAGCATTAGCAGATGAAGTATTGTCAAGCATCGAGGAGAAGAAGACAACTAAGGAAATATGGGATCATCTCACCAAATTGTGCGAGGCCACATCGTTGCACAATAAAATTTTCCTTAAGAGGAAATTGTACACTCTCCGTATGCCAGAATCTACTTCAGTGACGGAGCACTTAAATACACTGAACACTTTATTTTCTCAGCTTACATCTTTAAGCTGTAAAATAGGAGAACAAGAACGTGTTGAACTTCTACTTCAAAGTCTACCAAATTCGTATGATCAACTCATCATCAACTTGACAAACAGTAATGTCACCAGTCTAGTCTTCGATGACGTTGCAGCTGCTGTTCTACAAGAAGAAAATCGGCGCAAGAACAAAGAAGACAGACAAGTAAATCTGCAACAAGCAGAAGCGTTAACAACGATGACAAGATGAGAGGGAGATCAACAGAACGTGATCAAAGCAACAGTCACAAACATGGTAGATCGAAGTCGAGAAATAAGAAGAATTTAAAGTGCTACAACTGTGGAAAGAAGGGTCACTTGAAGAAGGATTGTTGGAGTCTAAATAAAAACTCCAAACCACAAGGCAATACCGTAAACACTTCAGATGATGGAGATGCTCTATACTGTGAAGCGTCAACCACCGTGGAAGGAAGAAAACGATTTGCAGATATATGGCTCATTGATTCGGGAGCAACATATCACATGACCTCAAGAAGAGAATTGTTACATCATTATGAACCTGTCTCAGGAGGATCTGTGTATAGTTGCAATGATCATGCCTTAGAGATCGTTGGCGTGGGAACCATCAAATTGAAGATGTATGATGGAACAATTAAAGTTGTTCGAGATGTGCGGCACGTGAAAGGTCTGAAGAAAAATTTATTATCCTACGGATTGTTGGATAATAATGCTAACAAGATTGAAACACGGAAAGGAATCATGAAGGTGTTATGTGGAGCGCTTGTGGTGCTGAAAGGTGAAAAGATAGCTGCAAACTTGTACATGCTGAAGGGAGAGACATTGCTAGAAGCAGAAGCCTCTGTTGCCTCATGTAGTTCAGATTCTGCAATACTATGGCATAAGAAACTTGGACACATGTCAGAACAAGGAATGAAAGTCCTTGTGGAGCAAAAGCTACTTCCAGGCTTAACAAATGTATCACTTACTTTATGTGAGCATTGCATAACAAGTAAGTAGCACCGGTTGAAATTCAACACATCAAATTCTAGAGGCAAAAGTGTTCTAGAATTGGTTCACTCTGACGTGTGGCAAGCACCAGTTACATCCCTAGGCGAAGCAAAATACTTTGTCTCATTTATTGATGACTACTCCAGGAGATGTTGGGTGTACCCTATTAAGAAGAAATCAGACGTGTTTTCAACTTTCAAAAACTTCAAAGCGCGGGTGGAACTTGATTCTGGAAATAAGATCAAGTATTTCAGAACATATAATGGAAGAGAATACACAAGCGAAGAATTTGATGACTTTTGCAAGAAAGAATGCATTAAAAGACAGTTCACAGTGGCGAACACTCCTCAACAAAATGGAGTGGAAGAGCGGATGAACAGAACCTTGTTAGAAAGAACAAGAGCAATGTTGAGGGACGCAGGCCTAGAAAAATCATTATGGGCAGAAGCAGTCAATACCGCCTGTTATTTGGTGAATAGAGCTCCATCAATTGCAATAGAGCTGAAGACACCAATGGAGATGTGGACTGGTAAACCAGTTGATTATTCAAATCTCCATGTATTTGGAAGTATTGTGTACGTGATGTACAACGCCCAAGAAATTTCAAAGTTGGATCCAGAATCCAGGAAATACAAATTCTTGGGGTATGCTGATGGTGTAAAGGGGTATTGCTTGTGGGATTCCACTGCCCGCAAAGTGATCATCAGCAGGGATGTTATCTTTGTAGAAGATAAACTACAAAGAAAAAAAGATGATGATAGCGCTGAAAAGTCAGAGACTACACAGATACATGTGGAAAAGGAGGTTGAACAAGGAGATTATTCTGAAGCAGAACCAGCACATGATGAACAAGAACCAGAGAGTTCTGAAACTCCAACAACTCGTCAATCAGATCGTGTGAGAAGACGTCCCAATTGGCACTCAGATTATGTTATAGAAGGTAATATTGCATACTGTCTTTTAACAGAGGACGGTGAGCCATCAACATACCAGGAGACAATAAACAGCTCAGATGATTCACTGTGGATGATGGCGATGCAAGAAGAAATTGAAGCCCTTCATAAAAATAATACATGGGACCTTGTGCCACTACCACAAGGAAGGAAGCCAATTGGTAACAAATGAGTCTTCAAAATCAAGCGAAATGGTGACGATCAAGTTGAGAGGTATCGTGCAAGACTGGTGGTCAAAGGATATGCTCAAAAGGAAGGTATTGATTTCAATGAAATATTTTCTCCTGTGGTTCGACTAATAACAGTTCGAGTAGTTTTAGCAATGTGTGCTATATTGAATTTACATCTAGAGCAACTAGATGTTAAAACAGCTTTTCTTCATGGAAATCTTGAAGAAGAGATTTATATGCTCCAGCCTGAAGGTTTTGAAGAAGACGAAAAGAAGAACTTGGTTTGCAGGTTGAACAAATCTCTGTACGGTCTAAAGCAGGCGCCGAGGTGTTGGTATAAGAGATTTAATTCCTTCATTATGTGCCTTGGATACAACAGACTTAATGCTGACCCTTGTGCTTATTTCAAGAGGTCTGGTGATAACAATTTTGTTATATTGCTGTTGTATGTGGATGACATGTTGGTTGCAGGACTCAACAAAGATCATATTGAAGAATTAAAGGCACAACTGGCTAGGGAATTTGAAATGAAGGACTTAGGATCAGCAAACAAGATTCTAGGTATGCAAATTCACCGAGACAGAAGTAATAGGAAGATTTAGCTTTCACAAAAGAATTACTTGAAGAAAATCTTGTTACGATTTAGCATGCAAGATTGTAAGCCAATTTCTACCCCTCTTCATATTAACTTCAAATTATCCTCCAGTATGAGTCCTAGCAGTGAAGAAGAGATGATGGAGATGTCTCGAGTACCGTATGCATCAGCAGTGGGAAGTTTAATGTTCGCTATGATATGCACAAGACCAGACATTACACAAGCAGTGGGAGTGGTTAGTCGGTACATGGCGAATCCAGGCAAAGAGCATTGGAATATTATAAAGAGGATCCTCAGATACATCAAAGGGACCTCAAATGTTGCATTATGTTACGGATGATCAAACTTACTAATCAATGGTTATATAGATTCTGACTATGCAGGGGATTTGGATAAAAGCAAATCTACTACAGGATATGTGTTCAAAATTGCTGGTGGAGCTGTAAGCTGGGTTTCAAAATTACAGTCAATTGTGGCTACATCCACAACAAAGGCAGAATATGTAGCAGCTACACAAGCCAGTAAAGAAACAATTTGATTGAAGATGCTATTGGAGGAGCTTGGGCACAATCAAGAGTATGTCTCTCTATTTTGTGACAGTCAAAGCGCCTTGCATCTAGCAAGGAATCCAACATTTCATTCAAGGACAAAACACATACGAGTTCAGTACCATTTCATTCGTGAAAAGGTGGAAGAAGGGACAGTAGATATGCAGAAGATCCATACCAAAGACAACATAGCAGATTTCATGACGAATGCGATCAACGCTGATAAATTTACCTGGTGTCGATCTTCCTGTGGCCTGTCAGAAACGTAAGTAACATGAAGGTACAAGGTAGAAAGAATAGTGTGAAGATAAGATTGTTCCAATCGAATCTTCAAGTGAGAGATTGTTGAAAATTGGTGCAACTTGCACCGAAAGTTGGGAGAAAAAAAATATAATTCCACCGAATGGTGGAATTATCAAAAATGTTGTATTTTTGTTGATTTTTGGTAAAGGGTAAATTACACAATTTAATCATTGTACTTTAGGGTATTTATAAGATTAGTCCTTAAGCTTCAACTATAAATACCCTAGCTCATTTAGCTTCAAAACCATCTCAAAACATTCTAGCTTTCTTCCAATACTAGAGAAATTTTAGAGAGTTTCTTGAGAGTTGTTTTCTCCTTTTTATCTAGAGAGAATTATCATTGTTTTCTCCTTGGTAGATCGAGAGAGGTTGTAATTCATATTTTCTCATAGTGAAAATCTTCTACCGTTGCCCGTGGTTTTTACCCTATATTTTTTAGGGATTTTTCACGTAAAATTTGTATCTCTTTTATCTTCATTTTTTATTTTCTCAAATTATTAGTTGCGATTTTACTCTATCCGATAGCTGTCTTCCGCAACAGTTTTCGCGTCAATCTCGAGCACCGTTCACCACACTGTTATCACCACCTGATTTCCCGCTTTGTTCCAACCAAAACCCAGCCAGTATCTTTCCCTCTCATTGTCGTTTCTTCCGTCCGCCATCGAGATAAACTCCAATTACTTTATATTTAATTTTCAGGGTGATCAAATTCAACGTCCTAAAAGTTTGAATATTATTTATATATTTTACCTCAAAAAATATAACTGACATTTTTAACGGGTTAACTGTTTAACCATTCATTTTGAATAAGGAAATCAAACGTATAAAATTAGAACGAAAAAAAAAGCTAGACACTATTGGACATCTTCTTGTATATTTAAGCCATATATATAAAGAAGAAGAACCTGGTGATCGCAGTTGCGGCAGGCGTAGAGAAGAGTCTTATGTTCCCTGTCTTCTTTGGGGTAGAGAATATTGTTGCTTCATCAATCAAACAAACCAAATTTAGGTGCAGAGAAAAGTAAATGAAAGAAACGAAGGAAAGAGTAAAGGAAAGTGAGAACTGACCATTCACGGCAAAATTTCATGGTACTCATCTTGTTTTGTTCTATTAGAATTTGGAAACGAAGAAGAAGAAATACAGAGAGCTTGCAATGTTTACTTTGGCGGGCAATTGCCACCTTGCTTTCTTCAGTATTTCTGCTGCTGCAAGAAACTGGGAGAAGCCAACCGATATTTCTAGAAGTGGGTTCTCCTGTAGACCTCTTGCCCGGCTCAATAACTTTGCCTCTAATTCATATTAAACAGCATAAAACTTTGCCATATTTACTTAATAATTCCTTTTCTTTTATTATTTAACAAAACGACACCTAAAAATGTTATATAGGAAAATAATATCCTTTTCTGATGTACGGATAAAGGTCTATTATATCACTCACGTCTTTCGAAGATACGCATTTATTTACATAACCATATGGTTTTTAGAGTAGGTAAAAGGTTTAATATAAAAGTAAGTGTTTAAATTTTATCTTGAATTATGTTTTAATGCTTAAAAAAATTGTTAAAAATAAGTGTCTAAAATTTTAAATGTTATACTTTTAAGTGTCCGGATGTTAACCGTCGTTAAATATTTATGTTAGGTGACACATGTCGTGTTTTGAAATTTTTAAGAATTTACTTAAAAATTAAAAAAAAAATAACTTTTTCGTTAAAAAATAGATTTTAAGCCGTCGGCCGGCCAATGGTGATCGTCACCGCCATCGGCGTCAACCCCCAATCAAACTCCTGTTGACCTTTTGTCGTAATATGTCACTGTTTGTTGGTGAGGAAATTTCAAAGGTTTGTCAGATTTTAAGCCTCTGTCGTCATTCTCCGTCGATTCTGACCGATTCAGACATTCATAAGCTACAATGTTGCCACCATTCAAACCATTGTGCTATTCCGATCAAAATTCAACCGTTCGGTGACGACAACGATGGCCAAAGATGGACAATGATCATTTGGGTTAAAAATTGAAATTGGGGATTAGGAATTTGGATATTGGGGGTTTTAGGTGACGGTAAGGATGGCGATTGATCGACGGGTGGGTGACCGTTTGGCGATGACGATGGTGGTCGGAGATGGTCGGCGACAGTTAACAATGGGATTAAAATGAGAGATTTTAGCTTTTTAGTTTTCTATAATTTCATGAAAATTTGAGTTTTTTATAAATAAATTAGATATGTTTTATTTTTTATTAAAAAAATATTTTTATTATCAAAAAATTTTAAAAAAATAAATGATATGCACCTAAAGTATAACTAAGAAAACGTTAGACATCTATTTTTAACTAAAAATTCTTTAGACACTAAAACGTATTTTGAGATAAAATTTGAACACTTATTTTTATATTAAACCTTTGTAAAATGATGAAAAAAATAAAATAAAAAATAAAAAAGTCAAAAATCATTTTCTTAAAGAAATGTAGAAATTGTCTAAAAGAAATGAATTTACATGATATAAGAAAAAATCGCCTCAGTGACCAAAAATGCCTTATAATATACGATTTTAACCAACTTTTTTTGGATTTGCCAAAATGACCAACAAAATCGCAACGCGAAATAAAAATCGCAACGCGATCCCCAGAATCGCAAACCAGTTTCCAAAATCGCAACGCGATTCTTGACAATCGCAATGCGATAGTACAAATTCGCATTGCGATTTTACAGAATCGCAACGCGAATATGAAAATCGCAACGCGAACACATAAATCGCAACGCGTATCCGTAAATCGCAACGTGTATCCGTAAATCGCAACGCGTATCCGTAAATCGCAATGCGTATCCGTATATCGCAACGCGTATCCGTAAATCGCAACGATAATCAGTAAATCGCAACGAGAATCTGTAAATCGCAACGATAATCCGTAAATCGCAACGAGAATCTGTAAATCACAACACTGAAATTTTGGGTATATAACTACGCAACAGCAGCAAATCATAAACTAAATCCCTAAATCGCAACTCATTCCATCTCCATCTATCACTCTCTCCGGCGACATCCGTTCCTATATCCAACGACATCCTTCCCAATCCGGCAACAGGTTTTAGTTTCGCAGCTCGTCTGTTTAGTAAATTAATTTACAACCATGAAATCATCTAATGTTGATCATGTTTGGATAGATTTGTGTTTTGGAGGGTCATGAGATAATGTTCATGGTGTTTTACAATATATGCCTTTACCTATGAATCTTCAACTAAAATTGTCTTTACAAAAGTTAACTTATGAAACTCTAATGCTACGTGTTTCAAATAAATTGAATTTAGAGCCCCTAAGTGGATTTAGGCTATCTTATCAGAGAAATGGTAAAGTTTATTTGTTAACCGACAATGAAGATGTTGAACGATTCATTGCTTACATTAGTGTTTCACAAGATGATGTTACATTGTATGTTGTTGAACCTAGAAGTAGTATTGTTGGGTCAGTAGCGGGTAGTAATCAACTAAGTTTTTCTCAAAACCCACAACCTTTCTCTAATCCAAATCCCAATCAACTTTCAGCACCAAATTCCGGTTTTCGTATTGACCAGTTAGACGATGATGAGCCAACAGAAAAAATTGTGAGTACTAGTCAGTATTCGAAATTTGGTCTTGGTCAATATCCAGACTTTGATATTGGTCAATACACGGATTTTGATGATGTTTCAGAAGATGATGTGACGGGATAGGTGATGGCTCTCGTTCTAGAGGTGTATAGTCGGGTCGATCGGGTGATGGCTCTGGGTGAGGTGATGGCTCTCGAATTGGAGGAAGTGGATGATGCTCATCATCCGTGCCATCAAAAAAACTCTGACTAGCTTGCCACCAATCAGTGGCAAGCTCTTCCTCCGTGGGTGTCAGTCTTTGTAATGGAATGTTGGCCTCCTAACAATATAAAAACTCAAACAAAGTTAAACGTCTACTATTAATAACTTGTTTATATATTATATGAAAGTATTTGTGTTAACTTACATTATTTATTGTCGCATATGGTATTAAGTCTTCCCAATCCAACATATTTTTCCTCTTCCAGGAAATAGCCCTGGGAATATCATTTGACGTTTTTATTGCATATGTACGCATGCTGGGGAAAGCCTCGAATATTCAAATCTATAAACAATATAATAACAAAATTAGTAATTGTTAAATAATTAATTATAATTTTAGAAACATTATATAGAAATTCTTACCTTAAAGGCCCAAACAAAGCCTGACAAAGTGTATTTCGACCCATCGCCACGCAAACTTTTGCGGTCATCAAAGGCAGTAGACAACTTAGTCCAGGTAGCTTTCCATATATACGAACCCCACGGAAACAGATTCCATGCATTCAGGTCCTCTACCAATATTATTAGCTCCCGAGGAATAGGTTGTCTGGCCTCTCTGCCTAAAAAGCCGGCATACACAAGTAGTAGAAGGCATACTCGGACAACATCGACGTCATCCATCCGAGTGAAACCAGCTTTCTTATTAAACAATTTCTTCAGGTCGTCGACGTGTAGGTTCGGCTTCTCCATTGACTCATCCGGAAACACCCGGGATAACCATGATGGGCGGGCGATATGACGAGTGTACCGGCCTACATCATCGTGTCCGAATCGTAGACCAGTGATTAAGCAGAACTCCTTCCGCCCAAAACAAGTATACGCTGGTGGAAAATGAAACCATATCTCTTCCTCACCACGTTGTATACTGTCGGGTAGATTTGATGTCATGGTCTGAAGCCACAAATGGGTCAAATTAGCATCTCCACCCGGATGCTGTACTCTCAGCCATGGCCCGAAGCAGGTTTCCTCAAACAATTGTCTTTGTGCAGGTGAAAGCTTCGAAGCAATTGTAGTTGCTAGGCTAACTTTATTCCTTAATGTCAATGAAGCCGAAAAAAATTTCTACAAAAACAATAAACATACCAAGTTAGATATACCAAAAACTACACTGTGAAGATATACCAAAAACAATAAACATAAAAAGTAGTAGTTTATTCTTGAAACTAAAATTTGCAACACTGTTTTGTCTTTTGGTTGAAATGAAAATCGCAACGAGAGAATGACTGTCGCAACGAGAGAAATGAAAATCGCAACGAGAGAATCGCAACGCGAAATGAAAATCGCAACGAGAGAATCGCAACGCGAAACCAAAATCGCATTGCGATTTTCATTTCGCGTTGCGATTCTCTCGTTGCGATTTTCATTTCGCGTTGCGATTCTCTCGTTGCGATTTTCATTTTTCTCGTTGCAGATAGTCATTTTCACGTTGCGATTTTCATTATCTCGTTGCGACTCTTCTGCAAATTGAAACTTGAATGGATTGCATTACTTCAACCAAAAGACAGAACAAAGACAAAGACAAATACTAACTTGAAAATCGCAACGAGAGAATAGCAACGCGAAATGAAAATCGCAACGAGAGAATCGTAACGCGAAATGAAATCTAAGTGAAATGGTTAATCTATTATTGAAATGACCAGTAAACATATCATCAGTTTCAATATAAAAAACCTACAATAATGCAAAAATTTCAAAATAAAATAATTAAAAAACTAACCCTCGGAGGTTGATTTTCCATTTCTGAATATTGTGAGGGATTTCTGACCGTGAATGGTTGTGAGGGATTTCGCCGGAGATGGGGACGGAAATCTTCGGAGATGGGGACGGATTTTGCCGTAGAGAGTGAGAGATGGAGATGAGACTGAGTTGTGATTTTAGGTTTTAGGTTATGAGTTGCGATTACGGGATTTTGTCTTAATATTCGTTTTTGTAATTTGAAAATAAAATACGCGTAGCGATTATAATGGCGCTTTAAAAATCGCGTTGCGATTTACGGATACGCGTTGCGATTTACTGATTATCGTTGCGATTTACGGATACGCGTTGCGATATACGGATACGCATTGCGATTTACGGATACGCGTTGCGATTTACGGATACACGTTGCGATTTACGGATAAGCGTTGCGATTTATGTGTTCGCGTTGCGATTTTCATATTCGCGTTGCGATTCTTGAAAATCGCAATGCGAATTTGTACTATCGCATTGCGATTGTCAAGAATCGCGTTGCGATTTTGGAAACTGATTTGCGAT